CGCCCATGCATCCAGGGATGGGCCCGGCGGCGGGGCCGAAACCAGCCGCATGCAGCAGATTTCGTAACCCCCCCTTTCCCTATCCTCGGGGGCGGCAAAGACGGGGGCCGTCCAAGAGGAGGGGGGTGCAAATCATGGCCGGCGGCACGTGCGCGGCCCAAAGGGGGGGGGCCAGGGACGCACTAAAACAGGAAGAGGCGCCATGACGTCAGGGGAAATACCATGGCCCACGCCATGATATCCACCCCCCCCTAGTCATCCCCCCCTCTCTTATCCGCCCCCGATACCCCCCCTTTCGTTCGCCCCGACAGGGCCGCCGCCCCCGCCCCAGCGCTGCCCCTCGGCTCTCCTCGGCGGCCGGGATTGGCCGAGCGCCGGCGCCTCGAAGCGGGCCCGCCTGGCCCTCGGACGAGGCCCGGCCTCCCTCGCCCGCTCCCGCCTCGGGCCAGCCTCGAGCCCTGCCGCCTCGGGCCCTGCCTCGGGTTTCTCCGCCCTCCCCCTCCACCACGTTCTCCCCCGTCCTCGCAGAGATCCTCCCCCTCCTGCCCCTCCTCCCGTGTCTGCCCCGCGCTCCCTGTCCTCCTGCTTTTGACCGTTCCGCTCCTCATCGAGCTGCTCGTGTTGCGGAGCCTCTCGCACCTCTCGTCGCTCCTGGGACCGTTTCGTTTGCGTGTCGAGTGGCGGGCAGAGCTTCATGAAGCTACCCCTGATGCCTATATGCCTGCAGCGAGTGACAAATGCCACCCAAAGACAGCATGCAGCGAGAGCAAAGACGGTAGATCATGCAACAACAAGCGCGCGACAAGGAGGTGGAAGGAAAAAGAGGTGAGACTCGAGACCAAACTTTTCTGGAACACGTAGCCTCCGAGGTGCAGCATTGCGCTCACTTTTCAAAAGATCACAAGCTTTCACCTGCCTCGCCTGGAGCTCGTCCAGGGCACCTGCCACACCGATGACGTCCGCCATGAACGATAGGACGGGCGGTTGATGAAGGACTCCCGCAACCACCACAATATCAGATGCGACCCGGGTCACGGTACCAAGCGCCCACGCACTAGCTGGACAATCTTTGCGAGTGCCTCCAATCGAAAAATGTCGAGAGGTTGATTGCTTGCGCCAGCTGGCGGACCTCCCGCCACCAAGCTTCCCTATCCATGGTGGCGTTGCACAAATAGTCAGCGGAAAAATTATGGCTCCTGTCCATCCACCTGACTGGGTCGTCTTGGTCGTGCGGCGGAAGCCGCCCAGCGCCCATCGTGAACGGAGATCGAAATTCGCCACCGCGAAAAAAGTTGTGTACGCGGGCTATCCGCTGCAAAGGCTGGTTACCCACCACGCAAACGAAACGGTCGCCAGATCTAGCCCAAATGTCTTTGACCTCGAGGCCGCGTGCCACGGCAGGGGTCGTTCAGCGCGGCATGGGCGTTCTGCCGACGACGGCCGTGACACCGCAGGGCTCGACGATGGTGCGCGCCGAGACCTCAATGCCCGGCTATCGCATCCGATGTCGACGAACCTGTTGGCCATAGCTTTCCACCCCGTGGTCGAGCCAACCCCGCATCTGGTGTCACCACGCCACGTGTGCTCGTATCCCCACTCGATGATGTCCCGTCCTCTGCTGCGCACAAGTCCTCGTCGCTTGCGCCGCCTAGGCGGGGCGCTCTGACGGCGCCCCAGACTGCGCGTCCTCGAACAGTGCGGATTCCGTCCAATAGATTGTCGCCACCTGGCCTCCCAGCGTTTCGGCCGCTCTCTCCCTCGCTCCCTCTCTGTTGTTGTTTATCTCTCTCTCTCTCTCTCTTCTAGCGTTGGCCTGGATCGCTTGCAATGCTCTCTCGGGCAGCTCGCGCACTCCCAGCGCGCTAAACCACTCGGAGATCAGATGCGCGGTGCGGCGGTTGAACTGCACGTTTCCCTCACAATGCTTCCAGCTCATCCACATCATTTTGCGCACCCAGCGCAACTCCCATCTCTCTGGAAACATTGAAGGCAGATGTTCACCTGGCTCCTGGAAGGGGTACGCACGCAATGCTCCCAAATAGTTCGCCCATGAGATTAAGAAGAATGCCCACCTTGAGTCCGCGAGTCGGGAGCAATTCGCATACCGGCTGACGGGCCAAAGTGTCGAAGGCAAACGGTACGTCTTGTGATGCGATACTGCTTGAAAGACAGACGTAAGATCTTCCGTGCACAGCCCCAGTTTGAAGCCGCAAGTCTGAACAGCCGACGGCCAAATTTGGTCACGCAGTGCGGGCCGTAGGCTTTGAAGCTACCACTTGAGTATCACGGACAAAGACAAAACCCATCTGAACAATTGGAGCGTGGTGGCATTCTTGACATTGGGGCTCCCCACACGAGTGTGATAGACTTCCAACTCGGGGGGTCATCTTGTGAAATTCCAGATTGACGCTGCGCAAAAAGTTGCCAAATCCTGACGGCCACGACATATGGGAGCGCCCTGAACAATTCCAGCCTGACCCCATCTTTGCCCGCTGCGCTCTTCGGTTTCCAATCTGGACCGCCCCATGTAGCACGTCACATAAAATCAATGTGCTCCCAGATCCCGTCCAAGTGCGATTCGCCGCCCCGATACGCAACACGCAACACGTACCGTATCGATACGGAACTCAGCACGTAGGAAACGTAGGTCCGACGCAATACATTCGCCAGAACGTGGTCCAACACGTGGAGCCAACACGCAACGTATTGACACGGACGTGTTGAGCACGGGACGTGTTGCGTTTCAAAACGCGCGTATCGAGGCAACTAAGGCAACGCATGTACCCTGTGTTGCTGGACTGGCAGTTCGTTCAAGTCATCCCCAAATCGTTCTTCTCCAAACCTCCAGGCTTCCTCGAGCGACCCCTTCCAGTCAGGGGTGGGCGTCCCCTGGACCTCCAGCAGCATTGGGAATTCCGTGTCCCCCTTGCTGGTCAACGAGATCTTGGACTAGCACTCGGCACCTTTGGATCCTCAACATCCTCAATATCCTCCTGCATCCAACATCTCCCCTATGCCCTGCCACAGCATCTCCTCAATATCCTCATGCAAACCCTACTCCTCAAGCGTCTCGTCCTCATCCGCAATTTCCTCGCCATCGTCATCGCCATCATCACCATCATCATCATCATCATCATCATCATCATCATCATCACCATCATCACCATCATCATCATCATCATCATCATCATCAGCAGCTGCATCATCATCATCATCATCATCATCATCATCATCATCAGCATCATCATCAGCATCATCATCATCCTAGCCATACACCCCCTCATCCTGTTCTCTCTTCTCCTGCTCCTCTTCATCCTCCTCTTTGTGTTCTCGTCTGCATCGCCATCTTCATAATTCCTGCTCTTCCTCCTCCTTCCTCTCATCTCTCTTCCCTCATCCGTCTCAGTTCTGAGCGTCGTTTCTCATCGTGGCATCCGCTCCGCACCCCCCATCCCCCTCTCCTTACCACCGCCCAGCATCCCTCGTCCTACCTCCTATCTCCTACCTCCTATCTCCTACCTCCTACCTCCTACCTCCCTCCTCCCTCCCCCCTCCTCCCTCCTCCCTCCTCCTTCATCCCTCCTCCCTCCTCCCTCCTCCATCCTCCCTCCTCTCCTCCTCCTCTCCTCCTCGTCCCCCTCTCCTCTTCCTCCCCTCCTCCTCCTCCTCCTCCTCCTCCTCCTCCTCCTCCCCTCCTCCTCCTCCTCCCCTCCGCTTCCTCCTCCTCCTCTCCCCTCCTCCTCCTCCCCGCTCCTCCTCCTCCTCCTCCTCCTCCTCCTACTCCTCCTCCACCCTCTCCCCTCCTCCGCTCCTCCTCCTCCTCCTCCACCGCCTCCTCCTCCACCTCCTCCTCCTCCTCCTCCTCCTCCGCCTCCGCCTCCTCCGCCTCCTCCGCCTCCTCCGCCGCCTCCGCCTCCTCCGCCTCCTCCGCCTCCAGTCCTTCTCCTTATAAACAGTTGTTCCTGTCGCACTCCGAGGCCAGTGTTTAGGGCGGGCTGGGCGTTTCGCGTGAGGCGTCCTCATCATGTAGTTTAAAATGTGGCTATCGCCTTAGCGCCGCGCACATACGCTTCAAACAATGTACAAGAGCTTCACAGATTGAGGGCGGGTGGTTGTCGAAAGATGTCTCTCGCCTTAGCGCCGCCCACATTCGTTTTAACGAATTGCAAGAGTTTCACGGATTGAGGGCGGGTGGTTTTCGAAATGTGGCTCTCGCCTGAGCACCACGCACATTCGTTTTAAACAATTTGGAAGAGCTGCACGGAGTGAGGGCGAGTCGTTTTCACAAGGTGGATCTCGCCGTAGCGCCGCGCACATTCGTTTTAAACCATTGCACGAGTTTCACGGAGTGTGGGCGGGTAGTGTTCAAAATGTGGTCCTCGCCGTAGCGCCGCGCACATTCGTTTTAAACGGTTGCAAATATTAAAAGATTGTCATCACCAACGTACCAGAAAGTGTGATTTGGAAGGATTCCAGAATATGCGAGTGCAACAGTTTCGTTGATTATCTGTGTTGAAGTCCTAGGGATGACGTTCTGGCACGATTCAACATCGTCAAGACGCAACAGTCAGGTTGATCCGTGGCGTTGGAATCCCGATAGCCATGTCTTGGCATGTTTCAGGGTCTTCAAGCGGGTACCTTCCAACAAGGCAGATTCATCATCAATGGAAATGAACCGTTGTAGGGGCCTATGAAGAGGGAGCTTGGAGGGAGGGTTTACTCCTACATCGTTGATGACCCTTGAGTTTGCACTGGTCCTCCGCCTCATCATCATCCCCTCCTCCTCCTCCTCCTCCTCCTCCTCCTCCTTCTCCTCCTCCTCCTCCTCCTGCTCCTGCTCCTGCTCTTCCTCGTCCTCATCCTCCTCCTCCTCCTCCTCCATCTCCTCCTCCTCCTCCCCCTCCTCATCCTGGCTCTCCTCCCCCTCCTAACTCCTCCGCCCCCGCCTCCCCCCCACACCCTCGCCGCGAAGGTGGCTGCACTGGCGCACCCAAAGCCTCTCAGTTCAGGGTCCAGTACGCAATGGCGAAGACCGCCACGAGCGCGACAACCTGGCCGCTGGAGGCCCGCGGGCTCTCCCTGGGCAGAGACCCCTCGCAGAGCCAGCGCGCTCTCACGTGGGGCACGTGGTCATCGCAAGGCGGTTGGCCATCGCGGGGAGGGGAGGGTGGATGAGGAGAAGGAGGAGGAGCAGGAGGAGAAGGAGGCGGAGGAGGAGGAGGGAGGAGGAGGAAGGACGAGGAGGATAAGGAGGGAGGAGGAGGAGGAGGAGGAGGAGGAGGAGGGAGGAGGAGGAGGAGGAGGAGGAGGACGACGAGAAGGAGGAGGAGGAGGAGGAGGAGGGGGCGGAGGAGGAGGAGGGTGGAGGAGAAATAAGAACTGCCCCCAGACCTCCGACGATATGACTTCTTCCGTCCGCGGCCCCAGAACTTCCGACTGCGCTGTTGACGGCCCACAACGGCCCCCAGGAGCCGAAATCAATGGAAAAAGCCCGGATTGAAAGAGTCGTATCGTCGGAGATCTGGGTCTCTGGAGGAGGAGGAGGAGGAGGAGGAGGAGGAGAAAGCGGAGGAGGAGGAGGAGGAGGAGGAGGAGGAGGAAGCGGAGGAGGAGGAGGAGGAGGAGGAGGAGGAGGAGGAGGAGGAGGGAGGAGGGAGGGAGGGAGGGAGGGAGGGAGGGAGGGAGGGAGGGAGGGAGGAGGGAGGAGGGAGAGGGAGGAGGGAGGAGGGAGGAGGGAGGAGGGAGGAGGGAGAGGGAGAGGGGGAGGAGGAGAGGAGGAGGAGGGGGAGGGGGAGGAGGGGGAGGAGGAGGAGGGGAGGAGGAGGAGGAAGAGGGGAAGGGAGGAGGAGGAGGAGGAGGAGGGGGAGGAGGAGGGAAGAGGAGGGAAGAGGAGGAGGAAGAGGAGGAGGAGGTGGAGGAGGAGGACGTGTTCTGCTTCTTGGACGGCTTCGGAAGGCCTCAGACGAGGCCCCCTGGGAAATCGGGGGGGGCACCTCAAGTAGGTCCCGGGGCGCCAGCTCTCTGGGCAGAGGCCCAGTCCACCCTGCCAGCATGTCATAAGAAGGGGGCGTTGTGCGGCAACGAAAACGCGGTTGATCGTCATTCTATATTTTATGTATATAAAACCCCCCCCAAAAAAAAGCGGTTGATCGTCATGCTGTGGCCGTGTCGCAATGGCAACCGCCCACCGCCGACGTAACACCGACGTTACACCAGCGGCACACCACGGGACACCCCGGCGGGGCGCCCCAGGCCACCGCGCGCCCACCGGGGGCAGAGGCGCGGTCCACGGCATCCCACTCGCCCCAGCGACGGCGGGATCGCTCCTCTCGCGCGCTCACGCAGCTTCGCCCCGCCCGCGCGCACGACACGCACACGAAACCGACACCGACTTCCTCCTCCTCCTCCTCCTCCTCCTCCTCCTCCTCCTCCTCCTCCTCCTCCTCCTCCTCCTCCAGGAAAGGGGGGCTTTCCGTCCCACTGATCTCGCATGGGCTCCCACGGGAGGATCATCTTGCCGTGGCCGTGTCCTAGAGCTCGGAGCCATCTTGATGTCGATAGTCGTTCGTCGTTCGTCCTCATTCGTCTCTCCCCTCCCATGGGACTAGTCTCTGGCCCACTGGACGTCGTCGACGTTTCTCGTCGTCGTTCGTCATCCTCGTGGTCGCTGTAGTTGTCGTCGTCGTCGTTCGTCCTCGTCGTCGTCGTCGTTCGTCGTCGTCGTCGTCGACCTTCGTCGTCGTCGTTCGTCATCCTCGTGGTCGCTGTAGTCGTCGTGGTCGTCGTCGTCGTCGTCGTTTGTCCTCGTCGTCGTCATCGTGGTCGTCGTCGTCGTCGTCGTCGTTTGTCCTCGTCGTCGTCATCGTGGTCGTCGTCGTTCGTCGTCGTCGACGACGTTCGTCGTCGTCGTTCGTCATCCTCGTTGTCGCTGTAGTCGTCGTGGTCGTCGCCGCCGTCGCCGCCGTCGTCGTCGTCGCCACCGTCGTCGTCGTCGTCGTCGTCGTCGTCGTCGTCGTTCATCGCCGTCGTCGCCGTCGTCGCCGCCGTCGCCGTCGTCGTCGTCGTCGTCGCCGCCGTCGTCGTCGTCGTCGCCGCCGTCGTCGCCGCCGTCGTCGTCGTCATCGCTTCGTTGTCGTCGGCGTCGTCGTCACAGCTTCGTTGTAGGAAAAGGAGGAGGGACTGACGCCTCGCGGGACTGGCCCCTCGTCGTTCATCGCCGCTCGTCGTCGTCCGCTGGCCCCTGGCCGGGGGGACCCCACCCTGCCAGTGGCCCCGCCCCCCTCCTGGACCCTACCCCCTCCTGGACCCCTGGCCGACGGAACCGCGCCCTGCTTGTGGCCACCGCCCCTGGGCCCATGCCCCTCCAGGTGAGGTGGCGACGACGACGACGACGACGACGACGGCGACGACGAACGACGACGACGTACGACGAACGACGACGACGGCGACGGCGACGACGACGCCGACGACCCGGAAAGCGACTCGTGGCTCGTGGTTCGAAGCGCCGTGCGCGCGCCCCCCCCGCGTGCCCCCGCGCGCACTCGCGTGCCCCCCCCCTCTCGTCATCCCGCCGGCGCCCGCGCAGCTCCGCGCCTCCGCGCCGCACGCCGGCGTGCCCCGCGCGTCAGCGCGCCCGCGCGCCCCGGGCGAGATGGCCCGCTCGGTGCCGCGCTCGTCGGGCGCGCCCTTCCGGGCCCTGCCCGCGGCGCCCTGCGGCCCCCAGCGAGAGCACCCCACCGGGGCCCGAGCGGGGCCCGACCGCGCGACCCCAGCTCCTCCCCAGGCAGGCCCGCTATAGGCCGCTTGGGAAGCGGGCGGGAGAAGTACAGCGAACCCATAATAGGGAGTGTTCGGAGGCATCTGCAGGGCAGTTTTTGAATACATAGGATTGTATAACAAATATGATTCTTCATGATTGATGCATGAATAAATGTATGCATGAACTCGCCGTTGTTTTTAATACTAAATCCCTGCATTTTGTTTACATGATCCGCACGCGGAGCATGTGTTAAAAACGGCACTGTACTGGGGGGTCTTCGTCGGAAGTTAAGGACTCGCCATCCCTCGGACGTCCATTCCCTGTTTTTTTTTCGGTTTCGTGCGTGGCTTTTTCGGCACATGATCAAGGATGCTCCTCGATGGTCCTCGCCGAAGGAAAAAACGCACACGTCCAAGCGATGCCAAGAGGAGGGTTATAAGCTCGATCGGGGGGCTGTTGCACCGGATGGGGCCGCGGATCGAGCGGGATTCAGCCGAATTGAACCTGACCAAGCCAGATCAACCGGGATCGAGCCGGGTGAAGCCGCATTCGGGACCGGGGCAATGTCAGAATGTGACCTCCCAGGAGTTGCATCCGAATCTGAATGCGCGGCAAGGATGCAAGGGCCTTTGGAAATCCGTGTTGACGTTTCTCGAGCGGGGCGCGGCCGAATACCGAAGGATGCAAGAATACCGAAGCATGCAAGGGCGCAAGGGTAACCTTGCAAACTTGCTCATCCTTACTACGCGAGTTAACTGCAGGTAGAAATGTGAAATAGGAAAGCTGATCAAGTAGATTGGGTTCGGGCCCAACTTAAAAAAAACAAACCACAACAATAGCATCACGATGATTGAAATAGGAAGGCGCTTGAAGCAGGTCGGGCCCTTGGAAACAAAAAACTACATAATTACAGCGATCAGCGTTTCAGGCCCTGTGCTACCAGAACGACCGCTTTCAAACCAGGCGGGGCAATTTGTAACCAGCAAGCGCTGGCAAACCGAACCTTGTGGAGTTCAGCAGGATTGCTTCACCGCCCCAACTCCTGCTTCACGCCCTAGACGAACCCACCTTTCACCCAGACCGACCGCTTACAACCAGAACGACAGCTTTACAGCGAGTAGGGCCCTCTTTGCCGACGGCTGGCTGTTTTGGCGATCCCTTGAAGACCTTGGACGATCTCCAGAGGCTCCTAAGAGATCCCCAGGCTCGCTTCGACGAGCTTCGGAAGCCACTGGACGGTCGCCATGAGGCCCCTGGACGGTCTCCAGAGGCACCTGAACGGTCTCCAGAGGCACGTGGGCGAACTCCGAAGGCCCTTCGACCATCTCTAGAGACCCTTTGTGAGCGTTTTTTATTCGGTGTTTCGACATTGGGCGGAAGGGGGGGAAGGGGGGGGGGGTCTGGCTCTGCTCGATACGACTGTTTGCGGCACAGCGTCCATTATTAGGGGATCAAGAAGTGACATAAACATAAAACTTGGAGGTCCACGCGGATTTCTCGGATCGGCGCTGGACCCCCCTCCCTGGCGCGGCGCCGGAAGCGCCGCCGGGGAGCCCTAGCGCCGATCGAAGAAATCCGCGCGGACCTCCGAATTTTTATGTTTATGTCACTTCTTGTTCCCATAATTATGCAGAAAAGGACCAAACCGAGTCGAGAACCGAGAGCCGCGACCGAACCAGCCCGAAACAAAAAAATCAAGAACCGAACCGGAAAGAACCGAATTCACGCAGAACCGAACCAGGGGGAACCGAACCGAACCAAAACCCGAACCGAACCGGACCAGGCCGGCCTCCGAACCGAACCGACGAGAACCGAAGCGGAAGTCCCAACCCAGCCCGCGAGAAACAGCAAAACGACGACCTCCCGCGCGCCGGTCCCACCAATCTGGACCCCCCCCGGTCAGGAGCATCCCGGTCTGGACACCCCCGGTCCAGACCCCTCCCGGTCCAGACCCCCCCCCCCGGTCCAGACCGCATGTGGGCCGAATCCCAACCAACTGGGCCCAATCCCAACCAACTGGGACCAATCCCAACCAGTGCGAAAAGCAAACTGGGCCCAATCCCAACCTGCTTGGGCTAGCCTCACAATATGATTTTAATTGTAGAGTAGCCCAAGACGGCTGTGAAGACCAAGTGGCACCTCTTATGTCAGCGCAGAGGTTCTGGAAGCCAACATACGTGCTAGAGTTGGAAGTGGTCTCAGTTTTGGTCTGCGCACGAGCACTATGTTAAGATGAGCAAGAGGGCACCGAAACGTAAGCAAAACCGTACCGAATTGCATCGATTCTAAAAT